CTGCTTTGTGAGGCTTAGGGCCTAAGAGAGAGTTTGGGCTCCTTGCAGGGAGTTCGGGTTCTTAGTAGAGAGTTCGGGCTCCCAGTAGGGAGCTCGGGTTCTTAGTAGGGAGCTCGGGCTCCTAGTAGGGAGCTCAGGCTCCTGGACTGTTGGTTCCTTTTGGTGCTTGTGTTTTGGGCGCACTGTTGCCCCGAACTGCTTGCTTTTGCCACGTGTCGAGTGATTGCGAAGTCGGGCCAAATTTCCCTTCATCAATTGCCCCCCACTCCTTGCGCTAAGGGTCTTGTCCTGGCGCGGGGAGTTCGCAAGGTGGCAGGCGGATTTTGCCCCGTACTTTGAATTTTATTCAACTGATGGCGCGCGCTTTAGTTTGATTTTTCAAAAAAAGTGCGCCGTTTGGGAGACGAGACGGCAGCTGTTTTCTCAAATTTCGGGAGTCGTGTTGCTACCGCTTTTATTGTGAGGAGACGTGCGCTGACACCCTGTTAGTTTTGAAAAGACGTACGCCGACGCCCCGTCAGTTTTGATAAGACGTGCGTGACGCCTCGTCAGTTTCAAAAGACGTGCGCCGGCGCCGTCCGTTTCAGGAAGACGTGCGCTGGTCATGTCTCGGTTTCGGAGGATGTGCGGTCAGCGCGACTGTGGGTCATTGGATTGGCTTCGATCTGGACCGTCGTTTTCCGGTTGCTGTGGATATAAATAGCGAGGGGGGAGGGGACCCCAGTCGCTGCTATTGTACCTCTCGATTTCGCGTCTAAGTTTCAGCTCGCATCCAGGCTCTTCATCTCGCGTCCCAGATTCCTTCTGCTCGCTCGAGCTTTCGTGGTCTACTCCAGTCTTCTTCCCGGGTGAGTGCTTTTCTTGGAACCCGTCTTCTACTCCCGGATGTCTAGCTCGGATTGCTCAGACAGTCCAAGAGGGTCTGATGCAGGTTCTACGAACCGATTTGCATCCCCCGGTAGTTCTAGCGAGCCCGATGTAGGTCTTGAGGAAGAGGTTGAACCCATAGGCCGAGGTGCCTCGGGTAGGTTGGCGTCCTCCTCCCGTCACGGTTGGGCTTTAGAACAGTTTGGCCCTTCGACTATGACGCCTGAGGGACTTCGATCCCTCATAAACTACTATAACTTGCCCGGGGAGTACGCCTACTTCATCCCTACGGGAAGCTTCCCTTGGGAACACGGTCCTGATGAGATCGTAATTTTTCGGGAACAGCTCGTTGCGGGGCTGCAATTGCCTTTCCATCCTCTTCTTGTCGAGGTTCTGAACCACTTCGGTGTGACGGTCGGCTAGCTCCACCCGAACTCCATTAGGAATTTAGTGGGGACGATCTCCCTATTCTGTGAGGAGAACTTTCCTTTGGACTTGGAGATTTTTTCTTCTATTTTAATGCTTAAAAAGCAAGCGGGTCCCCTTCCTGGGCGTAGGCGGGCCTACTACCTGTCTCCTCGCCCAGGCTTCAAGCTCTTACACGAACTCCCTAATAAGGTCCCGGCGTGGAAGCGGGACTATTTCGGGATGCGAAGTGCGCTGGGGTGGCCATTTCAGACCGGTTGGGGGATGGCCGCTCCCGACTCCGGCATCACACTTGATAAAGAGACAGTGAAGGGCCTCCGGCAATGGGCGCGGCTTGGGCTGAAGTGTCAACAGTATCCGACGGCAATGGGCGAGGCCAAGCTTATTGCTGCTGGCCTGAGTTCGGGTAGGTTCTTCCCCTAGCGATCCTGTCTTGCTCTTCCTTTGCTTGTTTTACTGATGCCGAACTCCTTTTCGCAGGTGCGATGGACTCTCGAGGGACCCGAGGTGGGCACTTGTTCCAGGGCATGAAGAGGAGAAAACGGGTGGCTAAGCGAACTCGCACCGAGCTACCCCAGGGTGCGGAGCCCAAGGTGCCGGATTATCCGGCGGAGGATCAGCCTAGGGAGCCCGAGATGGTTCCTCCTATGCAGGAGCCGGCGGGGGCCCCTTATGCTGAAACTACTCACACAGGGGCTCCTACCTATTCCGATGCTCCTGCTTACTACGGGTCTGCCCACACGCGAGCTGGGCCGTCAAGCTCGGGGGCCCCGGGGGACTTTAGGAGCATGCTGTCGCCTACTTACGCTCTCCAAAGGAGTAAGGAGGCCATTTTCCCTTAGGAGGTCGCAGCGTGGACCGATCTCCCTCTGCATCAAGTGGCCTGTCGCGCCGTTACCCATGCCATGGTGGTAACTGATCTCCCTTTGTTAGAGTTCTTCGGCTTTTATTCTTCTATTGGTCCCTCTGCTTACTTGTGTATCTTTTTGGTAGGTGAACTCTTCCATTCACGCCTTGGCAGGCCAGGTGGAGAGAAGCTCGAGGCAGGCGCGAGCTGCTAAAGAGGCTCTTCGCGCTGCTGAGGCGGCTGCTCGTGCTGCCGAGGAGGCCGCTCGTTTCGCGCAGTATAGGCAGGCGAGGTCTCAGAGAGATGCTGAGACCATGGGAGTGGTGGTAAAACATATGGCAGACTTGAGGCTGGATCTGTAGCATCAGGTCGAGTATCTTCAGGAGGATATCAGGGAGAGGACTCAGATCTTCTCTCAAGGCATCGAAGATGCGAAGAAAAAAGTTGTTAGTGATTATATTGCTTCGTCGGACTTCGATGATCTGATGGTGGACTCCTACAGGAGGGGTTTCAAGCTAAGTCGGTGGATGATCCGGAATACGTACCCCAAGCTCGACACCAGCGCCATATCCACTTCGCGTATTACTCAGGAGATGGCCAACGTTGCGGATGGTGAACCGGACTCCGAGGGGGAGGCAGGGCCTTCGGGTATCGTCGAAGTGGCTTCTGATAATGAAGAAGTAGCCCCGGACTTGTAAAAATGAAATGGCTCTTTTTTTTTTCGAATGTACACCTCATTATCTGAAATGAAATGGCTTTTTTGTTTAAGTGTTGGTTGTCCTGTCTTCGAGCTGTGTTTTTTGCCGAACTGACTATTTCGGTCCTCTACTAGTTCGTTTTTCACCTCGGCTTCGCCTTTGCCTTGTTAGATTGGTACGTTCGGGGTACTCGCCTTGGTGGTTTATAGGTAGTACCTTCTTAAGTTGACGATGTTCCAGGTTCGGGGTACTTGCTTACCCTCTAAGGTTTCGAGCTCGTATGCCCCTCCAAGCACTTTCTTTAATTTGTA